ATTTTCCCCCGTGTTTATATTGCATGTTTATCTTTATCTACCTTTAAACGTATGTATAGTGTGATTGTGTAAAGCCTATCATGGAAATACATTCCCTTCTTCAATGCCACTTAGAAAACACAGCAGTGAATGAACTGACCCTAAGTATTTCTCTAGAAGCAGCGATCAGGCCAAGTAGGAAGATCTTCCTGAAGTCACATCTCCTGAACACTGATTTAAAGCATGGGCTGTGAAATATTGCTCTTTTCCAGGAAAGGGAGAACATCTGTGGTTACCTCTGGTTTCTAAAAAAGAGATGATGGACTGAGTGTGAGGATGATTTAGTCTCTCACACACACACACACACACTCTCACTCACACACACACACACACACACTCTCACTCACACACACACACACACACACTCTCACTCACACACACACACACACACACACACACACACACACACAGGTGGGAGCTGTGCAGTAGTGAAGCGTTTGATCCACACACAGGAAACACTGGAGAGCTGCACCATCAGTCCACTGTTGACTCTTCTCAGGGTGGGGGGCACATTTACATTGTTCTTGGCTACACCCACCCTAGCGCCGCAGCTAACGTTAGCCCCCAACAGTTTCTCATTCAGATACACGACTACACACGGTATCAACCAAAGCTGTAGGCTGAGACAACTAGCCCACTGTGCTGAGTGAACAGCTGTCAGTGCTTCCATGTTAGAGACCAAACAGAAACTTTAAACCAAGCAGATAACCCAGCTAGCTAGTTAGCTTTAAGGTCAGCAGGGAATTTCAGTCATTTCACTTCCTGTTTGGACACGCGCTTTCAAAGTAAAAGCACTGCACTAGAACGTACTTGTATATTGAAACTGATCAGCAACACCGACAAGACTTAAACAATTTAACACATTAAAGAAACAAAATATCCGATACAAACCATGAAATACTGTTTTTGATTTGGATTTTTTTTTTATCTAAAAGCTTCATGGAAACAACATTGACAGCTTCTCAGGCCAAACCGTCAATCTCAATTAAGACTCACAAAATGTTTTTTGAAATGAACAACATCTGTTCTTTCTAACATGTGCAGTGTATTAGTCACGATCACTGCATGGAAGATAATAAATAATAATCATAAAAAATAATGATAAAGCTTTTCCCCAGACCATGAAGAGATTTTAAAAACTCTATGAGAGCTGAACCTGTCTTTCCATGGGAAACACAAACTACCTTCAGTAAAGACTGTGGTCAAACTGTTGTATGAATCCACAGTAAATGTTCGAGTCTTATTTTGGAATAAGTGATGGTCCAGGTCCAGGTGAATGCAGCTAGCTTGACAGCTGAAGTCAAATCTGGTTTGATGTTAAACCAAAGACTAACGCGCTGTTTTGAATCAATGACACCAACAGAACTCGTGTGAGCGCTGACCTGAACCTCGCCGCTGCTCTCTGTGTTGGGTTTCGCTCAGTTAATGGAGCTCAGCTGTGAGTGAGCAGCACCAAAGCGTGAGGAGGCTAATGCTAGCGTTAGGCTAACCGTGTTAGCATAGCCACCGGCATAGAGACAGCGGTGTGTCTTCATACCTGACCTTCTGTTAGTTTTTCATCCGAGAGAGGTCAGCGAAAGTCCCCTTAACTTCCATCTGCGGGTCGCTAACACTTCACCGAGCCCGCAACTCAAGACGGCAGCGGGCAGCATCGGTCTCCAATGTCAGCTCCTTTCTGCTGGCAGCAGCCGGATGATCCTCAGCCCCCTCCTCTGGTTGCATCACCTCAGCAGCATCAGGCTCCGGGACAGAGCAGGAGGGACAGTAAAGAAGGGCTAGTCTGCAGGAGGGACAGTACAGGAGGGACAATAAAATAGGAATAGTCTGTAGGGACAGTAAAGAAGGGACAATAAAATAGGAATAGTCTGTAGGGACAGTAAAGAAGGGACAATAAAATAGGAATAGTCTGTAGGGACAGTAAAGAAGAAGTAGTGTACATGAGGGACAGTACAGGAGGGGTAGTTTGCAGGAGGGACAGTAAAGAAGAAGTAGTCTGCAGGAGGGACAGTAAAGGAGGGGCAATCAAATAGGAATAGTATGTAGGGACAGTACAGGAGGAGTAGTCTGCAGGAAGGAAAGCACAGGAGGGATAGTTCAGGGGGTCACTGCAGTAGGGACAGTAGGGCCCTGCTGTCTCCACTGTGTTTAAAATACACAGTGGATCAATAAAGGAGGGATAGTCTGCAGAAGGGACCCTAAAGGAGGGATAGTCTGTAGAAGGGACCTTGCAAGAGGAACAGTAAAGGAGGGATAGTCTGCAGGAAGGATAGTTCAGGGGGTCACTGCAGTAGGGACAGTCTGCTCCACTGTCTCCACTGTGTTTAAAATACACAGTGGATCAGTCCTGTTGTCTGCAGATGACTCATGGAACTGAGCCAGAAGGCCGCAGAGCTTTACACACCTTCACCCATAGAAAAAAAGTTACTGCATCAATTATTCCCATTAACCTGATTCATCTCAAATATTGATTATCAGACTATTGAGGTCGCTGGAGATTTGTCTCTGTCTGGAGAAACCATTCAGCATTAATCAAAGGTGTACTCAAATATTTATTGTTTTACAGGCTCCACCAAGTTTTTGCCAGTCACACTTTGTGTAAGTGTAGTCGATATATTTATACATACACAATGAAGTGGTGGCAAATAGCAGCAGGGGCATAGCACCAGAATTGGCAAAGAAGGTGATTACGTGGACCCCTTAGCTGAGAGGGGCCCCCAAAAACCCCTTAATATGTTATTCTGTCCTCAGTAATTACAATTTTGTGAGGATGTCCTTGAATTCTAATCTACAAACGGTTATGTACAGGAGACAGCATTGCAACACGGTCAGAAGCCCCCGCCCCATTCCACTGCTGCTCAAAGCTCTATAATCGTAGAGGCTTGTTTGAAGAATGTCTGTGTATGATGCACCTCAGATGGTGGTGAGGGTTAAACCTAAGCTTAAACAACTTAACTATCATTTATGTGTGTGCACAGTATGTACTTTGTAATTTTCATAATGAAAGAATCATTTGAAAGATTAGAATGATGCGGCTTGGTGTCATGTGTTTCTTTGAGGGGGTACGGGTTGGTAGATTCGATGTAGGGCCCCACAGGTCCCTTTTGCCTGAGGCCCCCAAAGTCCAAATGGAGCGCTCCTACGTGGCAGCAGGGTGCATCAGCAGAAAAAACCAACTCAGCATGCTGAAGTCAGTTTAGTAGAGTGGATTTTGAATATGGACATTGCTGTGCCTGATGAGACAAATTAAAACAGTTATGTCAAGGATGAATGTTTATCAGATAAGGAGAAATAACACAATGCAAACACAATGTTATTAAGTTTTTATTTACATAAACCATACACGCATGACACCCTGGTCATTGCTCATCCTATGGATCACTAAGACTTATTGCTTATTTGACATGAATCACAAGCACTGAAGGTTATAGTTTGTGCTATCAAGAGTATAACTTGTGATCATACAGCATATTTCCATGGAGGATTGAAAATAATACAACGGTATGTATGTGGATGATAAACCGGTTATGAACTCGGAACAGTTGGTATTTCAGATGATCTCCAGGTGCTCTCCCCTCTACAGCAGTGTGTCCTATACAGGTCGTGGATAACATACAAGGAACGCAGAAAGCGACACACATACAGTAACTGGAGCCGAATGAATCAAACAAGATAGAGGCTTAAAAAATATTGTGCACACAAAGCACATGAAATATGGACAAAAGACAAATGCAAAGTGAAAATTATACACAGCACAGTATACATTCCATGGGTGTGAGCATTAAACCTCGCCTTTTCCTGGAATGATTAGCCTTTCACGTCTCGGTACCACCTCCAAAAAACCACTCATAACTAACAGGCAGAAGAACCTGCAAACTGAATAAGAACACTATACAAATATCTATATCACAGGGAAGAAAACACCTTTCAAATGGTTCGGTCAACATGCCTGCATGTTGCTGTGTAATAACTAGTTTTCAGTCTCATACTATTAAACTCTGTACAAAATTAAAAGAGTGTAAACATCGGGGCAACTGAAATGTTCTATTGGTCCTCAGCAGGGAAACATTGGCACAGGTGAGCTTTTAACCGAGTGAAACATTTCTGGAAAAAAATAAACATGTAAAGACATGACAAAAACGTCCATTCATCCATCACACATCCACAGAAATATATCTGAAAGAATCCAACAACAGCAGAAATCCCCCTCTGTGAACATGGAGCGAGCTGAGACGGAACAGAACGGTGGGGAATTATAAGGTACAGCATCTAATGCTTTTTGGAATTTAAATTAAATAAAAAAAGAATGATATATTAATATATTATCCATACATCATTTAGGGATGTTTTTTACTGAGGCAGCAGGTAAGTTTGTGAGTGAACATGCTCAATGCATCTTTAGAAGACATGGCTTCAGTCTTAGTGGCTGTTTTTACAGTCTAAAATGTGTCTCTGGTCCCCCCTGGTGGCTAAATGAAGCATCTTCTCAGTGAAGCAGCCAGCCACGGCTGCTCGGCGACATCCACCTCAATAAGCAGCTGACTTTTGATCCTCTGAGCAGGATGTTTGCAGACATGTGCATGAAGCTCCCGTTATACTTCAGTAGAGAAGAGAAGGCTTTGACGTTTGCTGTCTGGTGTTGGAATGCTCTCCAGCTGCAGGAAGTAGAGAAGGACTTGAACCTGCGGAGAAACATCAGAGGTGGTCAGGCCCTCACAGGCACGTCCTCTGTATTTATATAGTAGCTTTTCAACTCTTAATGACCACTAGTCATTAGTGCTTGAAGGTACAGTTTTGAAATTCACCAATTCACATACGCATTAATACAATTCATACAGTATGTGCAGCGCTTTCTCTACAGTATTACACAACCAGTTTTACCTGGGCCATGACCTCCAGAGACCAGCTGTCGTTCATGGAGATGGGCTGTGAGCTGTGTGAGATCTTGCTGTCTTTTTCGGAGGGCCGAAGCAAAGTGGGACCAAAAACTGTGGCCAGGTTGTGCAAAGACATCTTGTTGATGGTTTCGTTTTCAGTCACCCTGTAACAGCAGAGTGGAAAATTACCTTTACTCACAACATCATGCAAGTCTGATTTTTTTTCATGGTCAGCAGCAGATATTCAATCCAATACACAGGGGTCACCTCAAGTTTTCCTCTGCGTTTGATTGTTGGATGTTTATTAGCATTCAGATAGCATTTCATTTTAGTAGAACGTTTACCTTGATTTCTCTGAGAATAATAAGTGGATCTTGATGAAAATAATGCGGCATGTTTAAGGGTCTGATTTTTATTAATGTGAGCAATTTGGTGCAGATTCAAATAAAATGTGGATCTAGAGACTCATCGATATCAGTCCCCCAAACATGCCTGATTTTCTTTTTCAAAGACAAAGCTGAAAAATAAAATCCTTGATCTGCTACAAAATTCACTGAAATACTTTGGGACCTTTCCCACCCCTCCACAAAATTTCATTGAAATCGTTTGGTCCTGGTCACAACAAACGAGAACATAACCTCCTTGGCGGAGGTGATAATGTATTTTAACTGAAGTTGTTTACCTTTTCAGGTGATCAAGCAGGAAGAGGAATGTGACCAGATTGGGCTCTGGTAGAGACAGCAGCAGGTTGAGCATGCAGCTCTCCTTGGCCACACTGTCAGACAGAGCTGCAAAGCAAAAGAACACAATTGTTCCGGTGTCACAACTTGCAACTGCATTTATTTCCTCTTAAATCTTTATAAATGATGGAAAAATAAAGACCGACCGATGCCTCCAGCAAAGTTGGGGTACAGCTCATCTGTGAAAAGAGGCTCCGGCAGCTCTCGGAAATACAGCTTCAGTGTTCCAGCGATGGCGTTTACGTCCATCTCCCTCATCATGACAGACACGTCTCTGTTGTCTGTGCAGCAGATGAGACAGTCACTGAATACCATATAATACTCGAGACAAGTTGAGTCAATAGTGCTGGGCTCTGTCTTTAGTGTTGTTTACATGTGAATCAGCTTTTCCTTCCCCACACTCACTTGAATCAAATGCAGCCTTCAGCGCCTGGATGTCGGTGGCAACGCCAGAAACTCGGTAGATTCCCACTTCGTCCATCCCTCGCCGCTCAATCTCCTCCACACACTGTCTCACAATGAGGGGAACCTTAGAGCGCTCTCGCCTGATCGGGACACAGTCACACAGCAGCAAGATGTAAAGGGGACAATTAGAAATAAACAGACATAGCCAGAGGGATGTCAAAACACTTGTACCAGTGTTCCTCTGAATAGAGACATTTTCCATACAGCCAGTTGTTTGCAGTCATTGTTGATGAGGTGTCAGAAGAATCAGATGAACAAGAACAAGAACTTGCCAAGAAGTTGGCAAAAATGTGGGTACTGGAGTTGTGGTCACTTCAAAACCAATCATCATTTTAGGATCAGCTTGAAATAGTAGCTTGAAATGTAAACTTACTAAACGTTTTGTCACTTGCAAACTGCTTTTCAATCTCTCAAGCACACCCAACACCACGTTTTAGAAAAATGAATATGCACATTTTAAATTACTGGTATTTGTATGCCTGTGTTTTGCTGTTTGTGATGTTACAATGCCCTCAACAAATAAATACAACACATTTTGTTCACAGTGTCAATGTTTTTTTCCACAGTCCGACTCCAAATCACATGAACACACCAAAGTCAGAATGACACATCACAGATTCCGAGGAGCACGTGACTGCACAGTAAGTATTCCCACAAAAA